TCACTTCTAATGATTTACTTATTAAGTCTATCCACCTCTGCTCATTTGAACCAGCGAAGGATCTGACCCATAGTCTTTTTCCTCTGCAAACTGTCTACAATTCAATCAGTGATTTTATGTATTTTATTATTCAATGTAATCAAAAAAAGTTTCTGATTTTAGCCTGCTTGTAGTCAGTATTTCCTCATTTGATATTTGTAAGATCATTATGATATTCTTCCTTTTCCACTATTGACTAATGCTTCATAATTTACTCCCGTATGAAACAAATTTCTTTTCATTCCTCCCCAAAATCCTGCTTCTTAATTAAACAATCTCAGCTACTTGTGTAGTTTGCTCTGTGAACGTTTACATAAGCAAAATTTTTCATAATATTTTTTCCACTCATTGGCAAAAATGTATGTAAGACAGCTGAATCAAAACGTGATTCACAAGAGTGTTTGAGTTACCTTCCCTAATGTTCATCCAGTTTTGCGTGTTTAATCCAAACATCAAAAAAAGGAGTTGCTAAATATATTTGGTGGCAACATTTTATGTATTTATACTTAAGTTTACTGACATGATATTTTGTGTTTGTCTTTAACCACTTTATCCTTTGCTAGATCAAGTTAGATGTGATGTATCGATACAGTAACAGTGGCATAATTAAAATCAGAGACCAAAAAGTTACCACGCTGCATCTACAAGAGTTTCTGCCTCATCTGTTAATTCACCTATGAATACCTGAGTTTTATTCTGGGTTAAGTCCAAAAATATAAGTTTTATAGTGTCTTTGCAATGCCAGAAAATAGCAGTGTACATATTTAAAACAAACACATTCCCTATACATAGCCTACCATAAGAAGTAACTACTGATGAGAGGCTGTGAACTCGTAAAAATTGGTGAGGTTATGGCCAATTAAAACTAAGAAAATGAGTAGTGCTTGGTGAAGGCTTCCAAAGCAACACGCCAGCATTAAGCCTGCCAGTGGTTTTAATCTGACATTCATAAGGAGCAAATCTGCTAAAAAAAATATACAAACATTAAAAGAGGTTTGAATTCTTCTTAGCATTATACTACCCTTCTCATTTCTTACCTTTAGAAAAATAGTAATTTCTCAGTTAAAACCTTTATTATCTAAAACAGTAACTTAAAATACTAGGAAATTAAATCCAAACTAAGGGCAAGTTTCCCTACCTAGTGTCACCTGATTTCCCCCCCCCCCCCCACACACACACACTCTCTATATTAAATTGTATTACCTATTTATAGTATTTTAAAATCCAAATTCATAGCAGATGATACGTCATAGAAATGGAGGTAAATAAGGAATACATGCATTTTTAACAACATGTTAAACCTGAAATCTGAAGTTTAAATAAAATGAGTAAAATGTATGCAACAGTAAAACAAACAAAAAACAAAACACCACTTCCAAATAACTGGGCATGTTCTGAAAAAAAATGATAGCATGACAAGCTTTTTTCCAAGATATTTTAAAATTCTGGTTACTTAATACTCACGTTTCTATGGATTAGAATTTTTATATGTTCAACAATTGCAGTTACAATAACAAAAAATAAGGGAATCACAAGGAAAAATCTGATCATCTTGGGACAAAAGCATGACTGTGGATTTCAAGAGGACTTAATGGGCCCAATCCTGAAAGTCTGCTACCTGATCACGCAAGTGAGGCTATGAAAGATCAGGAAGACTATATATTCCTAATTTTAACTCAGCACTAAATGATGCTCAAAGGACTTGATAGAAGAAATGTTAGATGAACTAAGATACATTAGCTAGACATACTCACCTCTTAAACTTCCTTGTGTTTATGCTTTTCACTGCCATAAAACACTAATATTAAACTCTGTATTGTTGAATGATAGCTATGCACTTTAGATACAAATGAATCTACATATACAAGTATCACATTGGGAGTCAGGGACCCCTAAAGCTTAATCATGACTGTCACTGACTCACTGTGTTTTCTTTGGGAAGTAGGTATAGTATTCAGTTCTGCTCCCACTTAAGTCATTGGAAGTTGGCCATGATCTTCAAAGGGCACAATACTGGAATATAAAATACCTATGCCTCATTTTTCCCTGTCTGTAAAATGGGGACTGCAGCTCTTCTAGCAGAATGATCAGAGCCATGTTCAAATGTTAACTAGAGCACCATAAAAAGTATGATTTTCAAATCCTTCAGTTTACGTTTTTTAAATTAAACTCCTAATATTTAAACATCATGATTCACATATAGAGAATGTTATATTATCAGTTCCAGTTAAAGCCAAACCAACACTCCGAAGTCCCCATTTCAGTGGAAGCAGTACCATGAACTTAAAGAACAAGTTACACATAATTTGCTTTAACATTATTTTTGAAAAATAATGTTAAAGCAAATTATGGTTGTATGTGTTCACCATCTCCTGGCACAAGTTTGTTAGAATAAGAAGTACAGCAACCAACCAACCAACCATAGCTTCACTGTATTACAGCTTCACATATATCTGTAATAGAACATCTTAACACAGATATTTATATGCCCATTTTTATTTGTTAGATACTATTTTTATGTAGGTCACTTTGCTCCAGTTACAGCATTATAACACTTTCCTTCCCACCTTATCACTTGAAGTTTCAGGCTGGCAATTTGTTTTACATATGATTCATTTACTTCTGAAGATCACTTTTCTATTTTGTTACATAGCAAATTTGTCTAATCCAAAACTGGAAAATGAAATGTGGGTATGTTTCTCTCTCTCTTTCTTTTTTTAAAGTTTTCAATTATTTTGACAAAATATTTTCAAGGAACACCTTTCATTAAAAAAAAATCCTTCTGAGATCAACTTGAAAACTTTTAGTATACACTCATTTTCTTCCTAAAATTAATGATATTTGAAATACATTTCTGATACTCAAGAAAGACTGCCACATAACTTTAAGAGATCTCAACTCCTAATTTAAAACCACCAAAAATTACAAAACCTTTATAGCATGTTGAAATATTTATATTACAGATATGGATCAAGTAAAGGAAAATGGTCCTTAGTTATATTTCTATATTCATATAGAGAAAAAAGTTTTGCATTTATAAAGTTAACCTGAATGTTGCAAATTATACCTAAAATAGGATATAAAAAAACCTGTTCACAGAGCAGGAGGAAAATAGGTAAGTTAAGGATGAGCCTCACTTTTTGATGTATAATTCTTTTTCTTGTACAGTGTACCCCACTAGTTATGATTTATAAACTGTTCTTTTTGACAACACTAAGAATGTTTGTGTTCTAAACATGAAATTATTTGCACTTCATAGTTAAACTTGACAATTAATAGCCAAAAGAACACAAATACAGTTCAGAATGGTTAATATAAAGAATAAAAACGTTTTGGAGATTAAGTAGACATTTGTAATGTGTTTATATAACATTGTTGCTGTTTGTTTTCACAATACACTACATCTGACTTGTTAATCATAACTAGAGAAACAGCACACTGTCTAGTCAGATATCTACAACCTTTGTTTACTATAACCATAATCAATGAAACATTAATACATAGATACTTAAAGTCCAACAATGTGAATACCTTTAATTTAAAGCCAAAGATAAAGATGAAATTTCTGTATTTAATTAGAGCAATTAAACATATTTATTAGTCATCTCTACTACCAAAAAGTGATAGAGGGTGACATATACAGTGTAGTGACATACAATATGAGAGAGCTTTCTTGCTACATATAATTATCATGACAGACACTTCATTTTCTAAGCCTGAAGTCTCTGACTTTAAACTGTATCTGAAAGCCATTAGAACAAAAAACAAAAACACAAGAGCTGAAAGCATTAGGAGCAGAGATCACTTCAACTCTTACATGTATCTATTGCCTCTGTAACTGTACAATGACCAGAGCACACTGAAGATGGGAGGATAGTAATGTTTAAATGTATTACTAATTGTGATTACCACTAAGGATAAATGATAAATAAAGCTAGACCCATTCCCTATTCACTCAGGGAGAAAGATCATCGTGTTGCTAACCCAAAAGGAGAACCATTTCATTCTCTCACTGACTTCACCAAGGATTTGGATCTTGACGTGAAATTTACTATCACCTCCCTTGATATATAAAAATAATCAAATAAAGTAGTAATAATAATACAGCTGACATTCAAGTCTCGCAAGAAAAAAAAACTTCCCTAAGCTCTACGTGCATTACTGCCTACTCCCCCACAATTTTAAATACGAGAATATTGCAGACTTACTGTATCTCTGCTAAGTTTATGCAGATCCCAGGTTACGCTTCCAGGAAGGTTAGGGAAAGCCACACACCCACACACACACACCCACCCACACACACACACACACAATACCCCGCCTGGTACTGATGTATCCAATTAAGCAGTAGCAGGATTCCTACCGAGTAGCGATGGAAGCATCATTCTGGGGCGAGAAGAGCCCAACCAGGAGAGAGCGAGTGAGCCCCGCCACCCTGCAAATCCACCTAGTCCACTTGTTAGAGCGCTCTGGCTGCACAGCAACCGTGAGTAAAGGAGACCCCCTATAGGCAAAAACAGAGTTTATTCCTCCATCCTGTACAGAGCTATACGCGCCCCACACATATTGGATGTACGTGCGCTAGATTACACACACCGCAGCTATCATCCCAGCGCCCACAGCTGTGGGTAGAATACGCGTGACCAAGCTTCTAATATCGGCTATAACAACACGGGGGGACAGCACCCATTCGCTGCCAGATGTGCACACGCGCCTAACACAACCGGACAGCTCCCACCTTCGCGCTGTGTTGCGCGGATGCGTTTCGCTCCTGCTCTGGAAAGCCCGCAACTATCCCCATCCCCAGACAGGCACACGCAGGTAGCGGTCAGGGCTGGGCGAGCCGGCAAAAGAGGCATGACGATCCCGCAACGGCAGGCCCCCCCCTCCGCTGGCAGCCTCCTAGCCCCGATGGGAGAGGCAAAGTTCGGCGCGGATCCCAGCCTCCCAGGTGAACTTACCTCGCCAGAAGGGCTGCGCGGGAACTTTCAGCAGCGCCTCGGCTCAGCCCGGCTGGGGGAGCCGCTAGCCATAGTCTCTGGCTCTGGGGCCCCTTCGGCTCTCCC